AACAAAAAGAAAGACTGTGACCTGGCAAAAACAGTCAAGTCAAGGGTCGAGTCTATCAACTTCAAAAAAATGCTTACCTAGCTTGTAGACAGCTAAGAAAAAAAAAAAAAAACTGCTTACCTTCACACACCAAAATTTAACAGGGTTCTAAAACCTCTACGTGGTCAGAAAACTACTCACAGAAAAACAGGTTAAAAAAGACCAAAGCATGAGGTCAGAAATTCGAGACCAGCCCATGGTCAACATGGTGAAACGCCATCTCTACTAAAAATATAAAAATTAGCTGAGCATTGTGGTGGATGCCTGTAATCTCAGCTACTCGGGAGGCTAAGGCAGGAGACTCACTTGAACCCAGGAAGTGATCTGAGATGGCACCACTGCACTCCAGCCTGGGTGACAAGAGTGAAACTCCGTCTAAAAAAAAAAAAAAAATCCAGAGCAATTTTCTACATCCAAAATGAATTGCACCAAAAAGTCAACAAAATCTCTAAAAGTACTAATTAAAGTAGAACTAATCATGTTTTTTTTTTCTTTTTTTATCGATAAAGTACATCTGAGCAGAAGAACTAATCATATTTTTATAAACTGCAAGAGGGCCAAGTCAAATGCTGCATTCACATTCAAACTAATCTAATAATTGCAAAGCACCATCTAAAAGTGACACCCATCTAAGTTCCTATTTCTAAGTTCACATAAATGGACTCAGTTACAATCCCCTTAGGCAAGTAATGCTTATGTCCTAAACTAACCTTAATCACCAAATTTTGCTTCCAAATACCAAACTTTTTTTTTTTTTTTGAGACAGGATCTAGTTCTGTCACCCAGGCTGGATGGCATGATCTCAGCTCACTGCATCCTCAACCCACCCACCCACCTCAGCCCCCCAAGTAGCTGGGACCACAGGTGTGTGGTGTGTGTCACCATGCCCAGCTAATTTATAATTTTTTGGTAGAGACTGGGTTTCGCCATGTTTCCCAGGCTGATCTTGTACTCCTAGGCTTAAGGGATCCACCCACCTCAGCCTCTCCAAGTGCTAGAACTACAAGCATGAGCCACTGCACCCTGTTCCAGGTACCAGACTTAAAGCAGACATTTAACAGGCAGGTCACTTAAACCAAACAAACAAACTTCAATTTATTTATATGTTGAAAGATTTTCCAAAAAGAAAGGAGAAAGAGAAACCCAGAATGAAAAATAGTAGATCCATGACAAAAACTACATGGCTACTACAAAAACTACTACATGAATAACTGATGGGGAACTTCACAACTGAGAGATCAAGCATCAGACAACACGAATCCACTGGTCAATCTTAACATTAAAAAAAGAGAGAGAGAGTGCAGTGGTTCTTGCCTGTAATCCCGGCACTTTGGGAGGCTAAGCAGAGCTGATCACGAGGTCAAGAGAGACCAGCCTGGCCAACATGGAGAAACCCCGTCTCAACTAAAAACACAGAAATTAGTCAGGCCTGGTGGCAGGTCCCTGTAATCCCACCTATTCAGGAGGCTGAGGCAGGAGAATCACTTGTACCCAGCAGGTGGAGGTTACAGTGAGCCAAGATCATGCATTCCAGCCTGGGCAACAACGGCAAGAATCCATCTCAAAAACATAAAACAAACAAAAAAACCAGACAACATGTGCTTCTTAAAGTAATGCAACAAAAAGTACATAGTACTATCTGGGAGTACTATTCAAAGTATGAAACTGAAATCTGATCGACTCTTTTTTTTTTTTTGAGGCAGAATCTCGTTCTGTCACCCAGGATGGAGTGCAACAGCTCGATCTTGGCTCACTGAAACCTCTGTCTCCAGTTCAAGTGATTCTCCTGCGTCAGCCTCTCCAGTAAGCTAGGATCACAGGCATCCACCACGATGCCCAACTAAATTTTGTATTTTTAGCAGAGACAGGGTTTCACCATGTTGGCAAGGCTGGTTTTGAACTCTTGGTGATCTATGATCTACCTGCCACAACCTCCCAAAGGTGCAGGGATTACTGCCCTCCCCAGAAAGTCTTTTTTGTTTTTGAGACAAAGTCTCACTCTGTCACCCAGGCTGGAGTGCAGTGGCATGATCTTGTCTCCCTGCAACCTCCACCTCCCAGGTTCACTCCATTCTCTCTGCCTTAGCCTTCAGAGTAGCTGGGGTTGCAGGTGAGCACCACCGTGCCCAGCTATTAATTAAGTCTTTTTTTTTTTTTTGAGATGGAGTCTCTGTCACCGAGGTTGGAGTACAGTGGTGCAATCTCAGCTGACTGCAAACTCCATCTCCTGGGTTTAAGTGATTCTCCTGCCTCAGCCTCCTGAGTAGCTGGGACTACAGGCATGCGTCACCACACCTGGCTAATTTTGTATTTTTAGTAGAGACAGGGTTTCACCATATTGGCCAGGCTGATCTCAAACTCCTGACCTCAGGTGATCGGCCTGACTCAGCCTCCCAAAGTGCTGGGATTACAGGGGTGAGCCACCATGTCCGGTCCTGATCAAGTCTTTAGATTAACTACTAGTTCACAAGAAACACAAAGGAGAGGCCACCTGTAATCCCAATACTTTGGGAGGTGAGGTGGGCGGATCACTGGAGGTCAGGAGTGCGAGACAATCCTGGCCAATATGGCGAAACCCAGTCTCCACTAAAAATACAAAAATTAGCTAAGTGTGGTGGCTCTCACCTGTAATCCCAGCTACTTGGGAGGTTGAGGCAGGAATCACTTGAACCCAGGGGGCGAAGGTGCAGTAAGCCAAGATCACAACACTGAACTCAGCCTGGGCAACAGAGCGAGACTTCACCACAAAAAAGAAGGGAAAAAAAGGCCGGGCACAGTGGTTCCCTCCTGCAATCCCAGCACTTTGGGAAGTCGAGGCGGGCAGATCATGAGGTCAGGACGCAGAGATGAGCCTGACCAACATGGTGAAACCCCGTTTCTACTAAAAATACAAAAGAAATTAGCCAGGCATGGTAGAGGGTGCCTGTAATCCTAGCTACTGGGAAGGCTGAGGCAGGAGAATCGCTTGAACCTGGGAGGTGGTGGTTGCAGTGAGCAGAGACCATGTCATTGCATTCCAGCCTGGGCAACAGAGCAAACTGTGTCTCAAAAAAATAAAAAAAGAAAATACACAGGAGAAAGAAACATGTTAGATGACACTACAGGGATGCATTCAACAAAATCTAAATTGTAGGAAATTCTACAGGGCAAATGATGGGGTTTTTTCAACAAATAAATGGCAAATGACACCTCCACACCACGAGAGAAGGCACTAGAGTCTGAAAGTTACCAACCAAATGCTCTGCGCAGAATTCTTTGGAACTTGATTCAAACAAATCAACTCACTAAAACATGAGACAATCAAGGAAATATGCTGAATGTGATATTAAGCAATTATTAATATTTAGGTATGCTAATAATATTGTAATTATGTTAAAAGTTCTTGTCTTTTTAAGCAGGAACAAAATAAAGTATCCATAAATGACATTTGTCTGGGATTTGTTTTAAAATTATCCAATTGAGGAAGAACAGAAGGAATAATAGAAGAAATAAAATTCACATGGTTGAAGCTGTTGAAACTGGCCAATGGGTGCATGGTAGTTTATTCTACAATTTATCTTTGCATGTCTGAAATCTTCCAGTTTAGCCTGGCTCCGGAGCTCTCCCGGCTGTAATCCCAGCACTTTGGGAGTAGCTCCAGCCTGTAATCCCAGCACTTTGGGCGGATCACCTGAGGTCAGGAATTTGAGACGGCCTGGCCAAACACGGGAAACCCCATCTCCACCAAAAATGTAAAACTTAGCCGGGCGTGGTGGCTACAGTCCCAGCTACTCGGGAGGCTGAGGCAGGAGAACCTCTTGAACCCAGGAGGTGAGGTTGCAGTAAGCTGAGATGGCATCACTGCACCGGAGCCTGGGTGACAGAGTGAGACCCTGTCTCAAACAAACAAAAAAGAATAAGGTGTAAAATAGTGGAAGACACATTATTAACTCAAAGTATAACTACATTTGTGAGATAAGTAAAACCCTTATTTCAGTGTTGTGTGGCACTTGAATTAGCGTTCAGTGAAAAGCAAACTTGCCAGACTCCAGCAGAGAGAGAGTTGTCTGCAGCAGGAGAGTTGTCTGCATAAAGCCGATCGAATTCAAGTACTGACCAAAATTACCTCCTCTGAGCTTCAGGTCCCTGATCTAAATGACTTTATTTTAAGAAATCTTCAAAATTAGTTCCTGATATCCAAAAACAAAAATAAAAAGGTCTATCGGAAGCTGCAATGCACCGCCTCCCTCTCTCCATTCTGTACCTTTTGGTTTAAAACACGCTCTGGGGCAATGCATAAGGTAGCTCGACTTAAATACTGACTGACAGTACATCTTGGTCCCCACAGAAGTCTCTCCCCACCCACGAAAATCCTTAATTCTTCCCAAGGAAAAAAGATCTACCTTCAATATTGTCAAATCCCTCCCTTTTGGCTCCAAAAAGGAAATGTACCTGTAAGAGTATCCGCTGCACAGCAAACAAGGCACAGTTCCAAACCCGTGTCCTCTACCCACTTTTTGCGCCCTTCCAGCCCTCCCTCCCTTTTCCCATGTTGAACCTGAGCAGAGCTTTTGGCTCCCTTATCTACCAGCAACTGGCGCCAGGAGAACCGTGCTCCCAGGAGATGCGGAGCTTGAAGGCTGAGCGCAGCGTAGGGCGCGCTGCGGCGGCTCAGTTCAACCCAGCCAGGTGGTCCCCGGCTCGTGCCTCTGCCGCCTCGAGAGGCCCTCGCTGGAAGACGCGTCTCGGTTCAGGGGATTCCCGCGAAGAGGTGTCGCGTCGAACTTGCTACCGGCTCCCGCCCCTCATCCCCGAACGAAATGCACACCCGTCCCGACAGGACAAATCCGGAAGCCTCAAGGCAAGTCGGGGATCCTTTGCCGGTGGAACGCGGCTCCCCACACACTTGCCTACCAGGTCCTCTCCCTTACCGCCCGCAACCCCAGGACCATTCCCCGCCCTGGCCTGCGTGGGTCCAGTACCATTCTCCTCACGGGGCGGACTCCGGAAGGGCAGCAACTCCACCTCCTCCTCCTCCGCGGCCTGTAGCCATCTATCGGGAAGCGTCTCTGGAGGCGGCAGCAGAGGCCGCCGGACAAGGAACGCCCAGGGAAACCTTCTCAGAACTAACTCAGCTCCGGCGCTAGCAGCAGAAGCCGAGTCTTTCATAATTGTGCGACCAACTCCTCCGGGTGACTGGCCACAGGGACGCGCCCGCGCCCGCCTCCGCCGGCGACGGGGCTGGAGACGGACCACGTGAGCGGCGCGGCGCGTGCGTCGCCGCCCGCGGGTCGGGTCACGTGAAGGGCGCGCGCTCCCTCGCTCCCAGGCCCCCTCCAAGCGCGCCGCGCGCACGCGCCGGGCGGGAGCGCGCCCCCATGTCCACCGCCTCTGATTTCCCGAAGGTGGTAGGGTGTTCACTCCATATCTCCGTTGGATACCTAAGCGAGACTTACACAAACAGCTGCCTCAGCTACGAGAGTGGAACTTGGAAAATCGGAGGTTGAGGGTTAAGGTTCCAGGCTTCCGGATGCAGTCTGGAGTCGCTGTGTGGGCTCATTCCGCTAACTAGGCCTGGCCTCTGTCGGCCCGCTCCACCAAACTCGAGTGTCCCAATACCTTCTCAGTGCTTCAGAGCTGGTAGGGGCTTTAAATGTTACTCTCAACTCGTCCAAAATGCAAAGTGATCTTACCCCAATCATGTTCTTCCTCCAGCATCTCCTGTTGCTGCTGTTGGTAAATCTTCTTGGTTTAACTGTGGGACTATCCTTTTCCCTCCAGAGATAATCACCCACATGCATGCATACACCACACCTTCTGAACCAAAGACTGACTGGGTTGTTCCCTGGAACTAATATTTACCTATCCACCTTTCCATTTCTTTTGCTATCACACAAGCCCAGGTTAGGCTATTAGCAAGAGTTCGCTAAATATTATTCCTCATCTAAAAGGAAGAGCACAGTCAGTTTAGTTTTCTTAAAACATCGCTTTAATATCTCCTTTCTGCTCCTGGAAACCGAGAGTTCCTTAATCTGACCCTCAGGGATCTGACTCTATCTTATCTCTTTTTAAAAAAACGACTTTATTTTAAAATAATTGAAACGACAAACAGCACATATTTAAATGTCCAATTTGATAAGTTTTGACATACCTATGCACCCATGAAATCACCATAATCAACATATTCACCTCTAAGTTTCCTCCCTGCTTTATAATCCCTTCCTCCCGCTCCTCTCCATCACATCCCTTATCATCTACAGATCTACTTTCAGTACAGGAAAGTTTGCACATGCTAAAGTTTTATATACAGGAATCATACAGCATGCACCTTTTTTTTCCACCTAGTTTCTTTCACTCAACATAATTATTGCCTCTCAAACATGATGACCCACAATTCACTGAAGTAGGATCTTCTCTCAGAAAAAAAACAAATCCACCCCCTGCTTCCCCCAGCTTGTGAACAATCTTCAGGTATTGTGTATTTCATCCCCATCTGGCATGTCCAGACGAACCAAGGCTTAAAAATGTTGGCTGGGCACGGTGGCTCACACCTGTAATCCCAGCACTTTGGGAGGCCGAGGCAGGTGGATCACAAGGTCAGGAGATAGAGACCATCCTGGTCAACAAGGTGAAACCCCGTCTCTACTAAAAATACAAAAATTAGCTGGGCATGGTGGTGCGCGCCTGTAGACCCAGCTACTCGGGAGGCTGAGGCAGGAGAATTGCTTGAACCCAGGAGGTGGAGGTTGCGGTGAGCCGAGATCATGCCATTGCACTCCAGTCTGGGTAACAACAGCGAAACTCCGTCTCAAAAAAAAAAAAAGTTTTAATATATGTACCACTTATTATGCAATCAGCAGCTGATATTCGGGGGGGAAAAAAGGAAAAAATATGTGTCACATTGAATTGTCAGCCTTGGGGAAGGCATCTTGACTAATTTATGCATGCATTCAATAAATATTTATCTTCTGGATTTCAGTTGGGCCTACACACTTCCTGCCTTTAGGGACTTTATAATCTAGAAGGAGGAGACAGAAAAACTGGAAAATCAAAGTCAAATGAGATTAGAGTGCTTTATATTTTGTTACAACTTTGTAACTCTGGCCTTGTATTCATAAATGCTTCACCCCGGCCGGGTGTGGTGGCTCACGCCTGTAATCCTAGCACTTTGAGAGGCCGAAGTGGGTGGATCACCTGAGGTCAGGAGTTCAAGATCAGCCTGGCCATTATGGTGAAACCCCATCTTTAAAAAAAATAAAATAAAATAAATGCTTCACCCCTTGGATGGTGTAGAAATGAAACAATATGAGCTCCTTGACACTTGCCAGAACTCTTCTGTAAATTGGAAATTTTAGAGTTGGAAATGGGGAACAAAATTTATCTTTAATTGAACTAATCAAAATAAATTCCTTAATTTTCAAGTGATCACCAGCCTTGAAATTCACAGATGCTAAAAAGAAAAAAAGAAAGAAAAAAAAGAAATTCACAGATGCTGACTTTCAATCAGCAATCAATTTTTGAGAATGAATTTATGCATTCAAAAAATAGGTACTGGGCCAGGCACAGTGGCCCATGTCTGTGTTCTCAGCTACCCCAGAGGTTGAGGCAGAAGGATCATGTGAGTCCAGTTCTGGGCTGTAGTACACTGTGTGCGTTGGGTGCCTGTGCTAAGTTCAACATCAACATGGTGACTTCCTGGGAGCCGGGAACGGTCAGATTGCCTAAAGAGTGGTAAACCAACCCAGGACAGAAATTGAGCCGGTCAAAATTCGTGCTGATCAGCAGTTGAATAGTGCCTATGGATAGCCACTGCACTCAAGCCTAGACTACATAGCAAGACCACGTCTCTAAAAAACAAATAAATCTTGAAATATATATATAAATATATACATGTATATACGTACACAGTGTCTAAGAATATCAGGAGCATTCATAGTCAATGTTCAGTAATGACAAGATAGATAATTCAGTATTTCAGAAAATGTTAAATGTTCTGGCTGGGTGCAGTGGCTCACACCTATAATCCCAGCACTTTGGGAGGCCGAGGCAGGTAGATAGCAAGGTCAGGAGTTCGAGACCAGCCTGGCCAATATGGTGAAACCCCGTCTCTACTAAATATACAAAAAAAATTAGCCGGGCATAGTGGCACATGCTTGTAGTCCCAGCTACTCGTGGGGGCTGAGGCAGGAGAATTGCTCGAACCCGGGAGGCAGAGTTGAAGTGAGCTGAGATCGCGCCACTGCACTCCAGCCTGGACAACAGAGGGAGGCTCCATCTCAAAAAAAATAATAATAATTTAAAAATAGACTGGGCACAAAAAAAAAAAACAACAAAATAGACTGGGCACAGTGACTCATGCCTGTAATCCCAACACTTTGGGAGGCTGAGGCAGGCTGATCACCTGAGGTCAGGAGTTAGAGACCAGCCTGACCAACATGGTGAAACCCTGCGTCTACTAAAAATACAAAAATTAGCTGGGCATGGTGGTGAGTGCTTGTAATCCCAACTACTTGGGAGGCTGAGGGAGGAGAATCCCTTGAACCCAGGAGGCGGAGGTTGCAGTGAGCCAAGATCATGCCACGACATTCCAACCTGGGTGACAGAGCGAGACTCCATCCTAAATAAATGAAGAAGTCGCCGGGCATGGTGGCTCACGCCTGTAATCCCAGCACTTTGGGAGGCCAAGGTGGGTGGATCACGAGGTCAAGAGATCAAGACCATCCTGTTCAACTTGGTGAAACCCTGTCTCTACTAAAAATACAAAAAATTAGCTGGGCATGGTGGCACGTGCCTGTAATCCCAGCTACTCAGGAGGCTGATGCAGGAGAACTGCCTGAACCCAGGAGGTGGAGGTTGCAGTGAGCCAAGATTGCACCTTTGCACTCCAGCCTGGGTAACGAGCGAAACTCTGTCTCAAAAAAAAAGTAAATCTTGTTACACTTTTTTTCTTCTTTTTTTTTTAAGAGAGAAAGAAAGAAAAAGAATGAAGAAGAGGAAAAAAGAGGAAGAGGAGGAGGGAGAGAGAACGGGAGTGTTGCTTAACTGGGACTGTTGAGAACTGGGACTGTTGCCCAGGCTAGAATGCAGTCTAAAAATGGGTATTGAAAACCTCCCTTATACCATCAATTGTGCTTAATAATGGCCAACCAATATTTCATTTAAACATGTGAGTAGGTGTGATGTGGTACTGATAAGAGTGCATGTCTTGTGTGTTTAAAGTGGAGAGTTCTATAAATGTTTATTAAGTTTACTTGTTCTGGATCTGAGTTCAAGTCCAAGATATCCTTGTTAATTTTCTGTCACATTGATCTATCTAATATTGATGTTGAAATCTCCCACTACTACTGTGTGGGAGTCCAAGTCTCTTTACAAGTCTTATGTATCCTGTATTGGGTGCGTACACATCCAGGATCTTCAGCTCTTCTTGTTGTGTTGATCCTTTTACCTTTATGTCCTCTTTTGATCTTTGTTACTTTCAAATCCATTCCATCAGAGGCAAGAATTGCAACCTCTACTTTTAATTTATTTATTTATTATTGCTCTCCATTTGGTTGACAAATCTTTCTCCATCCCTTTGTTTTGACTCTTTATGTATCCTTGCAAGTAAGATGGGTCTGGATGCAGCATACCGATGGGTTTTGGCTGTATCTTTTGATTGGGGGATTTAGTCAATTTAAATTTCAGATTATTGCCATTTGATGTTAGCTGGCTATTTTGCCCATTAGTTGATATAAATTCTTCATTATGTTGATACTCTTTACTTTTTGGTATATTTTTAGAAAGGCTAATACTGGTTGTTCCTTTCTATGTGTAATGCTTCTTTCAGAAGCTCTTGTAAAGCAGGCCTGGTAGTAATGAAATCTCTGAGTACTTGCTTATTCACAAAAGATTTTATTTTTCCTTCGATTGTAAAGCTTAGTTTGGCTGGATGTGAAATTCTGGGTTGAAAGTTCTTTTCTTTAAGGATGTTAAATATTGGCCCCCACCCTCTTCTGGCTTGTATGGTTTCTGCTGAGAGATTGGCTGTGAGTCTGATAGGCTTCCCTTTGTTGGTAACCTGATCTTTCTCTCTGGCTGCCCTTAGTATTTTCTCTTTCATTTCAACCCTGGTGAATCTGACGATTATGTGCCTTGGGGTTGCTCTTCTTGAGGGATATCTTTGTGGTGTTCTCTGTATTACCTGGGGTTGAATATTGTCTTGCCTTGCTAGGTTGGGGAAGTTTTCCTGAATAATATCCTGAAGAGTATTTTCCAGCTTGGATGCATTCTCTTTGTCACATTCAGGTACACCTA